CGCGCTAGCCTAAGGGCCACCTTAGCAAAGCGCATCCCAGGCTGCATAGCCGCACTACCCTACCCAACCATACCACACATAAACATGACACTACCCCCGGGGTTTACACAGACGAGCCGGCGAAGCAAGAAGAGCGCCAGAAGAAAGGGCCCTAGCCGGCGGGGCCCAGCCAGGACAAAAGGAGGTCCCACAAAGCGCCTACACCGGCCGCATTTGCGGTCGGGGTAGACGACGGATGGGGCCCACCTACGAAGGCTGTCCAGGCCTACACGAGATGAGGCAGGATAAAGAGGGATAATCCCCCTCGATCCCAAATCATTGAGGCCAATTTCTAGCCATAGAATAATGGCGCGTGTTCCCTGATTTCCCTAGCAGGTTGCTAGAGGGCGCTAGTGTCCATAAAAATCAATCATGCAGTTTTTGTGATGTGTTAAAAATTTTAAAATAAATAATGTAGGCTTCTTTAAATTAAATAAATAAATAAAAATAAAAAAATAATGAATATATGTCGGTGTACAAAGAATACTAGCGACTCTAGCGGTAAAAACTATAAGTAATTTCTATTTTCTTTTATTAGATTAGAATTTGTCAATATTCATGCATTAGTCGTGCTCCTTGTCTATGTCTAGCTCCATCTAGCTGCCTGTCCAACTTTTTTCTGTTTGTGCTGTCCAGTGTCCAATGTTGCATAGAAAATATAGTACTAACGTAGAATGAAATCTAATATATTAATAATGAAACTGTCATGGCGGCGTCACATGTTAGTTAGCTTCCAAAATAAAAGATGGCGAAGAGAATGCTAACCCTGTCATTTTGGGTTGGTTGGTAATGCAGTTTGGACTTTGCACGTATTTGAAGTTTGGCATTCGTTATTCATAGAAAATGTAGTACTATATTTTCTATGTTCGTTATCTTTGGTTTCTTAGGTTATCATCTGAAAATTGTAAATTATAGTATTTCAAGAATTGTGTTTATAATTATTTAGTGCTTAAGAGTTTTCTATTTGTTATTATATTATACTGGGAATACGATGTGTAAGTTTTAAGCTGTATAGTTTTATTAAAAACCAAACCCATATCTTTACCAACATTATATGGAACACTCATACTCATTACTTGTATTAATCGATGAGAAACAGTCCACATAAAATGTGCATGTAACATATTATTTAAGTTAAATATAGATAAAAATAATTATGTGTATGATGATAAACTCCAACTAATATTTTATGAAACCTTTGATACTTAGATGCTTACAAAATTTTTAATGGTGGTGAATTGCTTTCTTTATTCAGTTTGAGACATAGAAAATATACTGTTAATATTAAGGTTTGAAAGTTCCAAACTATATGAACTATTGAATTTAACCCAATATTGTACAAATATTCGGTTAGGTGTATACCTATCTCCGTGAGATTATTATAACAGTTCATGCATAATTTTTATATTTTTACAGCTTACTTACCAACTTATCAAGTTTATGAAGCAAATGAATTAAATCGTTGTCGTTTTTACCTACAATTAAATACATAACAAGAAATTGTTTTAATAGTACATGCATAACAACATTCTGTATAAATCAATTAGGATTTCTTGTAGATACAAAATAAACTTAAAATTATTAAAAAATGTTTTATTTCCTTATCGAAACCATTTACTAAGTATATCTTGGCAAATGTCAAAATTTGAAAAATACTATAATATAATAAAATAATAAATAAGAAATTGTCTGTATTTATTTGTGGCATTATAAATGTTATAATTTGGATATTTTGCCATAGTTTGAAGAAAAAAAAACTGGAAAAATAAACCCTTGTACCGATAGGGACAGTCAAGTGTCAATACTGAAAACTTTTGCCTAATAGTGAGATGCCAGAGACATACATCTACATGTATAAGTCTGGTTACGCACTGGAAAAACAAATACACATCACAATAACACTATGACGTGTCTGAAACCTCTAGTTTCGTTATCAAAGCAGAAGTGAATTAGAAAAGTACTGAATATTAGTTTTTCGCTACATTTTCTGTTTAACTAAATAATCTGTTCTCAAAGGTATTGACACTTGACTATTCCTATTTGTATAAGGGTTTACCTTTAAAAATTTTTAAATAATATATAGTGGATATAAGTGAGAAGTCGTTTGCATACAATAGATGGCGCTGTAATCAATTTACAAAGTATAAAGTGTTGCCTACTCATTAGGAGCTAAGTAGTAGTAAGCTTCCAAAACGTTACGTGGCGCTGTTTCGCGGTTTAGTGGCAATATTAGGGACATTTCATTCTACGTTAGTTCTATATTTTCTATGCCAATGTTGTCTGCCAATAGTTTCGTTTCTCGTTTCTCGAATTTCTCGTTCATTTGTTGTATTGTATTGGAAATTGGAACGCGAAAAATAACCTATATTTGTATTCATTTTTTTTATCAATTTTCATCCCTTGGTTTAAAATTTCTGTAAAGACTAAAGATAAGTGTCTAAATTTGTGCCGTTATCCTACGAGTAGATGAAGACGTGTTGATTTAAAAAAATGTAAGTAGAACTACCGTTACCTACATATAATACGTGTGTAATTATATATTTTATTTAACTAATTGTAGGACATTAACGTAAGAATGTAATTAATTGCTTTAAGTTTCTTTTGTTATCTTTAAAAATGTAATAGTAATGTTAGAACAGTGATGATAAATGTCGTTAATTCAGCAATCAGTTTCTTTTCAATAAATATCGTCCAGTCAATTCCACTTGCAAAATAATATAAACAATAAAAGATGCTAATTCTTTTTAATAAACGTGAAAAATTGATTGCCTGAAGAGTATTAATCGCAAATTGTCATCTATTGGAATAGCATCGTCCTCTATTCCAATAGATGACAAAGGTCAAATACAACAGGATTTATTTTATTTCTTGGAACAACTGAGCATTAAAAAATGTTTACGCGTTAAAACTTGTGTTTCCATTAATAGTCTTTAATATTTTAATTTATATCTTCACATTAACTTATGTATAATTATTTTTTTATAATAATTGATAATTAAGCAAAAAAAAAATATTAATTACCTTGTAATAGATTTTAAAGTACAATAATTAATGTGTTATTTCGTAAGTAAATTGCTTGGATTTTGTATCTTTTGGAAAATGTAATGGAACATGCAGTATCAGTACCGGCAAATTTGATTCTAATTTGAAATACCTACAGATCATTAATACAGTATTATGTAAAACAGTTTACTCAAGGTTAAATTGAGCATTAAGGTGAATGCACTTCTTGCAGATTATTATGTAAGTTATGGGCGGGAAGTCTGCCGCAGGTGATGCTAACATAATCGTATGCGTTTAGGTGCTCATGATTCCTAGGTATACGATAACAAATTTTTCAAGTTATAACTAATAAAACATAGACAGTTAAATCTTTGAAAATTACTGTAGGTATGCAAAATAGCGTGTTATTTTTAAGAATATTACAATTGCTACATTTAACCAAGGAAAATTTATCGTCATATTTCAGAAAATGTCTTCTTCTGTTGGGGTACGAGGTTTTTACTCCGGAAAGAATCTTTTCATAACCGGGGCCAGCGGATTCTTGGGAATATGCCTTTTAGAAAAAATACTAAGAACAATCCCGGACCATGGAGACATCTACTTGCTATTGAGGCCTAAAAAGGGCAAGGAAATCGCTGAGAGACTCGAAGAAATAAAGAAGAATCAAGTCTTCGAGGTTGTATTGAAGGAGAAAAGCGTCGAGAAGGTAAGTCTGACTTGACAAAAAATCTTTATAAACTACGCGACCGATTGCAGGTATTCGCTAGGGTTAAAGCCGTGGCTGGTGACGTTGGGCAGGACAACCTAGGCCTCTCTCCTGGCGATAGGAAGCTGTTAACGGATAACGTCAACATTATATTTCACTTGGCCGCGACTTTGGATTTTGCCGACACGCTGAAGACTACCGTGGATATTAACCTGTTAGGAACTAGGAGGGTTATAGAACTAGCGAAGCAATGCCCCGGCCTGAACGCTTTGGTGCACGTCAGTAGCGCATATGTGAACTCTTGGAGAAGTCAAGCGGACGAAGTAATAAATGTATTTAATCGGGGTTTTTAAGAAATAAACAATTCTCGTTTTAGGAAATTTATCCTCTGAAGAGGGATCCTGAGGACGTCATCGCGATGGTGAATAAACTAACTCCAGAGGAGCTGGAAGAGCAAACGCCTAACGTATTAGGCGACCATCCGAACACGTACACGATCACAAAGCATATGGCTGAACTGGAGATACAAAAAGTGGAAAAATTGTTTCCCTGCACAATCGTACGACCTAGCATGAGTAAGTTGAAAAAAATCCGTAGGGTCGGGGTCTGGATGATCCGGCGGTCACTTTACGAAATTTATTTTAGTTGTTGGAGCTTGGAAGGAACCCGTGCCAGGTTGGACTATAAGCAAGAACGGTCCTCAAGGCTTTTTCATGGGAGCGTCTAAAGGCGTCATCCGCAGACTTCCCGTCGGGAGGGATTTGATATACGATTACATTCCTGTGGATATCGTCGTGAATAATATGTTAACGGCTGGATTCTACGTGGGTACGTTTCCGATCGTCTTGTAAAGTGACGAAAGTTTACACATTTCACTTTGCAGGAGTACTTAAGCCGAAAACCGTGGCCGTGTTCCACAGCACGTCTAGCACGAGAAATCCGTTCCGCTGGGTCGCAATCGAGGACCAGATCAACGAATATTTGCACAGGTACCCCCTGAAATCGGCCGTTTGGTATCCGCATCTGAAATTGTTGCCTTCCGTGACGTGGTACAAAATTTCAGCGTTTTTCGTGCATTTCTTCCCAGCTATTTTACTGGACACCGTTACGAGGCTCGGCGGGGGCCGACCGATGTAAGTTGGACGGGGCGTAATTTTGAATGAGGGTCATTTAAAACAATTTGTTTATAGATTGATGAAGTTGCACCGAAACGTGAATAGTTCGCTAGACAGACTGGAAAAGTTCATTTTCACGGAATGGAGGTACTCCTCGATGCAGACGATGAACTTGCAGGTAAACCGATAAAGAAACGTATGTCAGGAATTGCTTTTATTCATCTGTCCTTCGTAGGAATGGTTAAACGAAGGCGATAAGGTCGATTACAACCTGGATATCGGCACGTTGTCGTGGAAAGATTACTTCCTGGACTTGACTTTAGGGTCTCGGGTGTACTTGAGCAAGGATCCCGAGAAAACGTTGCCGGCCGCAAAGTCGAGGGAAAAAATGTAAGCAAGCGTGAAAAAGTTTAATATACCGTGTTGTTTTTAGAACGTAGTGCCAAACTGAAGCAGGCGGTGGGAAAAGTTATTTTAAGCAAAAATTTCTCATATATGGAACAATTCTTTTTCTTCACTCACTGATGGAAATGGGAGCGATAATTGAGTTTTTTTTATCTTAAAAAGACAATATTTTTATAATAAAATATCTTTTGATTGCAATCGATAATCCAAAGACCTATATCGAGTTTTATTTGTCGGTAGTTTTGGAATTATAAAAAAAATCGTGATTTAGGCGTTGCAACTTTATAATCGTGTAATTTTTTTGCTAAGCATTTTTAGACTCGTGTATATATGAAATTTTTGCTTAAAATAACATTTATTATCTCCCGTCTCAGTTTGATGCCTTATTTTTTAAGTATACAGAAATGGTACGTTTGAACTACCGACTTTTTTTTTTCAGTTTGTTGGCCATTCACCTGGCTTGGCAAGCGATGCTATTTTCCCTGATTTGGTTCATTTTCGCTTGCGTGACCGGCATGACGATGTCGTCCTCAGTATTCGTTTTGCCTATTTTATTTGTCTTGTACAATTTATTGTAATCTCTATCGTTGAGTATTAATCTGTGGTAATATATACAATTTTTTGGGTCGAATATTTCAGTATTTAATACTTGAACTGGGTTTATGTGGTTTACGGCTATTAATGTATTGTTAGATCTGATTTTTATTCTAGCGTTACAAATATATTCGTCGAGTATTAATCTGTGGTAACATATACAATTTTTTGGGTCGAATATTTCAGTATATACTTGAACTGGGTTTAAGCGGTTTAAAGGATATTAATATATTGTTAGACCTGATTTTTATTCTAGCGTTACAAATATATTTGTACTTATTTTAAATTTGCGTTTTATTTCTACAAACCTACCATTCGCTCAAAGGGAACGATAAGGTCGATTACAACCTGGATATCGGCACGTCACGGAAACATTACTTCATGGACTTAACTCTAGGATTTCGGGTGTATTCGAACAACGATCCCGAGAAAACGCTGGCTGCAAAGTCGGGAAAACTTAACGTCGAATCAAAACTAGAAATGGGAAATATCGCTTTAAGCAAAAATTTTTCACTCGCTCGACATGGGAGACGATAGTTTAGTATTGTTATATTAAAACAGGGTTCCCAGCGACCCTGGAAAACCTGGAAAAGTCAGGGAATTGAGAACTGACCCTGGATTTCAGGGAATTTGATGCAAAATACCAAAAAGTCATGGAATTTGTACCATTTCAGTCAGAAGTCTTGGAATTTGTACCTTTCTACCTTCTCACAAAACAGAAACATCACGGTAGCATCTAATGCAATCGTTTGCTTATTCGACATTCTCGCGAATACAGAACGCAGCAGTAAAACTCGTATAAAGAACGTCGGACCGCCCTATTCGTCTAGTGCTAGTGCAGTGAGTTGTAACGAAGTATGGCCACAGATTTTTTATGGCCATATAGTATGTATACAGCGTGGTAAAAAAGTTCTGCATAAAATTTATATTTTCATTAAACATTTTTTTTCGAAAAACGGTGAGACCCGTCGATTTTTATTTGATCCAGGGTACCTTGTTATGTGGAAAAAATTTTTTTTTCGATAATCCACTTACGGCAGCGATGACAAAATTTTTTCTTAAATGACAACGCATATTTTTTTCGTTCGAAATTGATGACAGTGATAATTATCTAAACAACGGTGCGAAAATTTCGATGTCTCATAACAATTTTTTTTAGAAAAATGCACCTTAAGTTCTTGAATGCAATAATTTGCTGTTTACGGATCAAATGCCTTAGAAAAAAATTTATTCGGCAGAAAGCATTTCAGATAACTTAAGTTGCAACTGGTGTTATGTAATTATTTGCGGAATTATTCATCAGATATTGTCAGGATCCTGATTAAACTGCAAAATTTATAACCAAGTTCAACCGCACAAAATCCAAATAGTATGTAGCAAATTAAGGTCGACTTTTTGTCTTCGAGTTTGCCGATAAATTCCTCAAAAAAAAAAAGATCCAAAGAAATGTTTACTTGAAAGGAGTAGATTACCTGAAATATTGAAGACTAAAAATCAGTACCGATTTAACATTCTTTGGTGAAATCGTTTAATTCGAAATGGCAAAACTTAGTGAACTTAGCGAAAGAATTGATATTTTGAGGATGATTGGTTTCGATGATAAGTTACGAACCCATGAAGAAGCTTGCCAATTATTTAATGCAACGTACCATGACAGACACTGGCAAGGTTTGAGGAAACTGGTAGTGTGAAAGATGCTCCTCGTGCGAATCGTCCTAGAGTAGATGATGGAACTAGATTGAATATCCTGGTGGAGCTCCAGGACAACCCTCATTCTAGTACAAGGTCGATTGCATTGAACAATGATATTTCACATGTAACTGTGGTGAACTTTCTCAAAAAAGAGAAATTTCACCCCTATAAGGGTCACTTGATACATGCATTGACTGAGGACGACCCAGACCGCCTCCACTTTTGTGAAGATTTAATGCATCGATGTAACGGAGACCCCGACTTCCTCAAGAACATATTTTTTTCTGACGAGGCTACTTTTTATCTTAATGGATCGGTGCATCGACATAACTGCCGGTATTGGTCTCAGGAAAACCCGCACTGGGTGCAAGAAGTAGATCATCAGCTCCCCCGAAAGGTGTACGTTTGGGCGGGAATAATAGGGCGTCGTATTTTAGGCCAGTATTTTTTCGAGGAAAATTTAACTGCTGCTCGCTATTTGGATTTCCTGCGGTTCGATTTGGTCCCAAGCTTAGCAGAGTTATTCCCGAACAACGAGGATCCTGATATTCCTGAGGAAAGAATTTGGTTTCAGCAGGATGGTTCACTGCCCCAGTATGGAGTGCAAGTACGGGAGTACTTGAATAACACGTTTACTGGCCGGTGGATCGGGCGACGCGGAACAATCGAGTGGCCTCCGCGTTCGCCTGATTTAACACATCTAGACTTTTTTTTGTGGGGCTATTTGAAATCGCGTGTGTACATAAACAGGCCAGGTGATTTGGAAGAACTTAAAAACCGTATTCGTTTTGAAATAAATCAAATCGACGGCGTTTACAGACGCTTAGGATAATGCCAAATGGTACAGGGTGGGCAATTCGAAAATTTCGCTAGACTTACACAAACAGTGTAATTTTACTCGTTTGAAATGTAATTTTTTCAACTTTGTCCTTTTCGGAGCCATTAATAGTGTAAGTAGACAATTATCACTTATAAGAACTTAAGGTGCATTTTTCTAAAAAAAATTGTTATGAGACATCGAAATTTTCGCACCGTTGTTTAGATAATTATCACTGTCATCAATTTCGAACGAAAAAAATATGCGTTGTCATTTATTAAAAAAAAATTATGTCATCACTGCCGTAAGTGGATTATCGAAAATTTCCTGGCAATTCATTTTGGTACATTTGAACTACTCACTTTTTTTTTCATTTAGCTTAGTAAGCGGTGCTATTTTCCTGAATTGGTACATTTTCACTTGCGTGACGTCATCTTAAGTATAATTTTAATTTGTGGTGAATATTACAGTATTTAATATTTGGACTGGGATTAAGCGGTTTATGGGTATGGATATATCGTTAGATCCGATTTTTATTCTAGCGTTCCAAAGAAATTTATACTTACTTTAATTTGCGTTTTATTATTAAACTACCGTTTACCCAAAGGGAACGAATGGAACTAGGATAAAAAAAGGCATACCTTTCACAACTATATTGCTAAAAAAAATATAAAATGTAACAGTTACAGTTTGAGTATGGTAATTAAACGAACAAACATCTCCAGGTCAATCAGAAATCAATGGATAAACAAAGAAAATAGTTCTGCGGCAGCGTTAAGCAGAGGGTTAGAAGATTCTTTTTCCTTATTCGTGTTTGTGTTCGTCCCGTTGGGAATGGTACCGGTACGATTAACGATTTCGAGAGTCTTTTCCGGGCAGTTGTACATGGCGTTTATCTTAGTGATGTCGCCTCGACTGAAGCCGTCTCTTTGCCCTATCTTTTCCATGAACCTCTTATCCTTAATATAAAATACATATTATACACGACCAAATCAAGCAATTTTATAAACTTTACCAATAAATCTTACTATTTATCAACTTACCTTGGGGACAAGAGTGGGCTGCCCGTTTGAGGAAAATGCCTTGCTGGAGTAGTGCATGACAGAACGATAATCGTAGTTAACGCCAAAACCGCTCGTCTTGTCTTTCTCTGCTTTGTCGAAGTTGTTTTCATGACCTGAAACACGCTTTTTCTGAACGAAATGATCCTTCAAAGCACCGTTTTGCGAGAAATACCTTTCTTAATGTTTTGCCAAAGCACGGTGATGTGATCGTCCCTCTCGTATCTACTCTGTTCGTGTAAAAACCCAATGGCGTGCATGAGCTCGTGTAAGGGGGTCCCCAGCTTGGTCGTGCAAGAGGAGCTCTGCAGATTCACCTCTTGCTTGCCCCCTATGCGGCCTACGCTCGACCAGCACCCCGATCTGCCGCTGACGATGGAAATGTAGTCTTCGTCGCTGGGAACCCGAGGACGGAAACTATAAAGACGCGATTTACTGGTTTTACTATTGGGATTTATGGAAACTTACGTTACGCAGGTATACTTCTTGTAGACGCTAAACGCCTTGTTGATTATTTCCAAATCGTTCGCGGAATAGTACCCACCGATCTCGTACGGAACCACGCCGCCAGGCCACCGGAAACTAGTAGCGACCATGCCGTTTTTGGACTTTTTCGGGAAAACGATGTCTCCCTCTGCGTACTCTCCGAGTTCCTCGGGGTTTTCTTGCGACGTTACGTTCCACGTTTCCAATTTCTTACCCGTTTCCGGGTCGGGTTTCAAGAACACCCTGTCACCAAGGTACGACAGGTCTACCACGGGTTCTTCCAACGAATTCGCATCGTCGTTTAGCGGGAAACCGAGGACCAAGCTTGAAGTCAGGATAACAAGCGATAAAATCATATCGACGCGCCTATTTCGCCGTTTCGAGTAAAACAAAGGTATTGGAACGATTTCCCGTTTAAGTAGTGAATTATGCATTTGGAACAGCGTCAGTATCACTTCTTTATCGAAATTATCGCGTAATTTTGAATTCAAATACGCCTAATCCGGCGATAACGCTCAAATTTAACGACTCTGGACAGCGAGTTGTGTTTGAATAATGGAAATTTGATTCATGCCGATGGTTTGGAGATAAGGAGTGTATTTGAATGCATAATTAATTTCGACGGAGATATACGGGGTGTTCAAAAGGGTCTATCCGATATTTCCATAAAAAATTTATTTTTTTTGTTACGGTTGTGGGAGCATGAATAAACATTAACGGAAGTTTGTTTTCGGTGCCCCCCTCGTTCTTTGTAAACATATTAAAATATACAAATACCTCAACGTTTTTTTTCTTTTAAGTATTTTTATACTTAACACTTAAGTATTTAATATTTTTTTTTAGTACTCTTTTTTACAGCTATGTTTTTTTTAGGGGCACCCGTTTATTTCTTATTATCTCATAGTCATCTTAAATGTTTCATATTAACATCCTTAGAATATACAAACAAAAAAAAAGTCACCGAAAATCTCGACGGCGGCTCGCCAGGGAGATTTCCGGCTTACATATCTAGTGCGCAAACTATAGTACAAAATATTCACCAATTGATAAGGAAAAAAAAATTAATACATCATTCTATACGATGATCTCTAGAAAGGAAATATAACAATGCTTTGTACATTACACGTGATAAAAAAGTCACTCTTTGCTTTATCGCCGTCCGGCAGTTCCCTAAAACCTATAATATGGCCTCATATTTAGAAAAAAAACACGCAAACTGCCAAGTGTATAAAAAAAGGTGGTGATAAAAGACTATCGCCTCCAGGAACGGTCTTCGTCCTCTTCTTCCTCGTCGTCCTGGAGCAACGCTTCCTCCGATATCTCAGGACCCAGCTGGAAAGAACAACGCGGCTTAAAAAAATATAAAAACGTACCTCGTTTCATTTCAATCGGCCTATTCGACGGAAACTTACGAGCGGAAAGCTCGCTTCACGTTTTCATTACATTTCGATCGGACGGCATTAAAAATTAAACACGTTTTGTCGCTTTGTCGCCACTCACCTCTTCGTCGCCTTCCAACAAGCTCTGATCGATCAACTGGTCTTCCTCGGTCTCCGACATGAGCACGGTCCTCGTGGAGGACCCGCCGCTCCTCTGCCTGCTCAACTGCTTGTTGCTCCACGTTATGGACAACGTGCGATCCTGTAAAAATTCCACGTCATGAACAAACCGCAGCGCTACACTTCCACATCCGACTTACCTGGAAATTCTTCCCCTTCAACAGCGCCATTTCGGCCTCTTTACGCGTCTTGTAGTTCAGCGTCAGGCTGGGCAGCGAGGCGTCTACGACGTAATCCACGATCTCGCCGTATTGCTGTAGAGAGAGAAGCGTGTTAATTTTAGCGGTTTTGGGGGAAATAGTAGCGTTTACCTGGAAGTGGTTCAACACGCTGTCCTGTTCGTCGGTCTCGTAACCCGACACCAGGAGGCGGGTGGGACGGTGATCGACCGTATGCTTCTGGAAAGGGGGGACTGTCGACAGGGCCGTCATCGAGGGAGTTCGGTTCAGGGGCTTCGTTACCCCTTTCAATTCTGCGGGAGAGTAAAATAATCGATTGAGTGCAAGAAAAGCAACGTTTTTACTATCGTTACGTCGTTCCCAGGCAAATTTAATAAATGGAAATCTAATGATCATGGAATTATGTTTGCTATGCCTAGTCTATGGGGGCGTATGCAAAATCTATTATTAATATTGCCGGTTTTCGAATCAGTACGGTCCGAATGGAAGATTGTTACAGAAAATTTGGTATTTCTTATACTTTTGGTAGCAAGCAACACTGGGTGATCAGTTCCAACAAATCGATGATCAAAAAAAAATTCGTTTATTCAGGTTTTTTAATGTTCAAATGACCTTAAAATGGCCTTCAAATCATCTGACACAGACAAACTGACCTCAGATTTGAACTAGGCAACTCCAAATACGTGTATAAGAGGCGTGTAGACTTAATTGCTCAGTTTTTTCAATGTCACCTAGAAATGACCTTGAGACGACCTTTAATTGACCTGATACAGACAAACAAACCTCGGATTCTAGTCCAGTGACCCCAAAATCCTGTATAACAGGTTGGACTTGATTGCTCAGCTTTTTCTCGATTTGACATTGAAATGACCTTGAAACAACCTTAAAATGGCCCGATACAAACAAACTAATCTCGGATTCTAACCCAACGACCCCAAAATCCTGTACGACAGGTGGTTGGACTTAATTGCTCGGCTTTTTCTCGATTTGACTCTGAAATGACCTTGACACGACCTTTAAATGACCTGATACAGACAAACTGACCTCAGATTTCAACTCAGCAACTTCAAATACGTGTATAACAGGCGGGTAGACTTAATTGCTCAGTTTTTTCTCAATTTGACCTTGAAGTGACCTTGAAACAATGTTAAAATGGCCTGATACAGACAAACTAACCAGTGATTCGGACTCAATGACCCAAATAATATAAACTCCGAGATCCTTTGATCTTTTTCTCAATCTGACCCTGATCCTGACTAGGAAGGAGGGGGGAGGTCCCGTTTGGGATGGAATCGGTTAGTTATTAGATATAAATAAAAAAAAGGGGGGGGGTCGAAACAGGCCTAATTGTTATTTTTTTCCTGCATAAATAAAAAATGTTAAAAACAAACGACTCACTTGTATTATCGACGAGGTTATTCTTGGTCAACAGGTGCCGGGGGGTGTACCTGCGCGCCCCCCTTCCCCTGCCCCTGACGCTCGCCACCTTGGCCCTCAGCTCCAGCAGCTTCTTCTGTATCTCCGAAGTGTCGGCGCCCTCCTGCTGTTTCGTTATCAGATCTAACTCGGTGTCCAGCAGCTCGCGCTGCGCCTCCTCCTTCGTCTTCTTCTGCGGCACCGATTTGGCCAGCAGGGTGGCCGCCTCTATGTCCTTCTTGATGTCCTCTATCGCCTCCTGGGTCTTCTTTATGGTGTCCTTGATGATGTCGCGCTGCGGCCCGGCCGGCACTGAAACGATCCCATTGATGTTATTTGTAGATTTCGGATACGAAAAAAATGTTTATAACGTTGAAACTTGAAAAAATGTCTTTCTTCTTCGAAAAACCCAATTTTTGTAAAAACTATCAAATATTTCGCAATTTTACAAAAATACACTTATTCTACTTGCCAAGGACTACATATTCTGAAAATTTCATAAAAAAATCTTTTTTCGTTTTAAAAATACAGTGACCCAAAAAAAAACCTATATTTCGCCCGTTTCGTCGACCTCAAGACCAAATCTTTCATTATATTTTACCAAAAATATAGGATAAGAAAGTTATAAAAGATTTTTGAAAAAAATAATTTGCATTTTTGCTAAATATCGTTGATTTAACGATATTTTTATATTGAAAACATATTTGCATACTTAAATGTACTTGCTATTAAGATTCGCTTCAAAAATTAATGTATTTGTAAATTTAAAAACAAATAAAAAAACGCTAAAATATATAAAATTTAAAAAAGAAATAAAAAAAAACAAGAAAAAAATAAAAAATAATAAAAATAACAAAACAGGAAAAAAACAACCGTGACATGGTGAAGAAGCTTACATATTACTGAAATACATTTCTGTAATATAACCAAATCTAATCTTGCATCCAAATTATCCTAGTTCAAAGTCCAATTAAATAAGCCTTTAAATCGAAATTTTGGTCAACTTGCCTGCATTTTTTATATGAGTTAGTTTGAGGTATGTTATAACAATAAGTGACAGTAATTTTTTGTTCAACCCCCTGCCAAGGGTGAAAAAAGATAAAACAAAGGGGTTTTTCAAGATAACTCAAACCAGGTAAGGGCCAGTGGCGGCGCGTGTACATTGATTGAATGTGTTCTGCTTAGAATTGTTACATTTGTTGAATTGAATTCCGGGATATTAAGTGCCCGGAGAGCTTGTAAATGGCGCCGCAGGCGAAAAATTTTAAAATTTTCAAGGTCACGCGTTTTCCTGGCACTTCTGAATTTCAAGGAACAATGAATTTATACAAAAATACAGATTTTCACAACGATTTTTGAAATTGATACCTTTTTGAAATATCTATTCACGAATTACCTACTGACGGTATAAATAAATTGGAATAAACTAAATATATTTTATTAAATTATTGAATATTGTTTATAAACAAAAAAATCGTTTGTGAAATTTACCAACGATTCAACGAATTTTAATTTTCCTCGCCGTGTTATGATTTTTTCTTTATCTTTTTTTATATATATGTACATTATATTATATTCCGGGAGTTATACGTGCAAATCCGAAATCCGGGACCATACAGCTAATTCCCGGTACAATCACAGAAAATCCCGGTCATACCAATGTGGCTAGATGTTCTTTTAAAATGTCGTCAAGATCTACACTAAAATTTATGAGTCCACGAAACACATCAGGGTTGTCCGAATTTTCTGTCTCGTCGTGTCCGAGAAGTGCTAATTCGAAAGCTCCGCAAAATTTTATGCAATCTATGATTTTAAATAATACATGACGATTTTTCATTACCTGTTCATATGTTTCCGTATATTATCCCAATATGCAGAATCTAACTGACTTCTTATGTTTATTTTACCTAAAGACTTAATGACTTAAATCTTTCACACTGTATATTGTCCATGCTTTATCCCCACCGAAAAGTAAGCACGGAAAACAAAACAGTGAATATTTTAAATCACACCCGCACACCCACTCTGCTTTTGTGTATACATTATTGTTTTTTTATAACTTTTACTTCTTTTATTTTTAGTTTATCCTCATAAGGCAGAGAACCAAATAAAGTTTTTTTTTAAACGAAACGCTATTCATTTTAATAACTATAATATCCGTAGACGCCTAAACGAAAATATTCACACGTGCCGCTCGCAGAAATAAACCACCACATACCACGTACGAAATATTACTGCATTTACTGCAGACTGCAGCGCAGTGGCTGTCACTATTGCAGCCGCAAAAGCCCCTATCTCCGTGTACTGGGTCACGTGCCTGATCAGCCAATAAAAACAAAGGACGCATATAATTGTTCGCTGTCCACACATTGTGTATATGAGGTTGCATATATTAAGGAGCGTAGCTCGCGTCGCAATAAATAATAATATAAGCTCCTAGATTTATTTTAGCGCGAGTACATTTGGATTCTTTAAATATTTTGTTGATATTTAATATGATTAAATACATAAAATTTTATGTGTTCTGCAGCTCCGCAGCTCTTATGGTAAAACCGCCACTGGTAAGGGCTAAAAAAAAAGTTTCTTATAAAAGTTGTAAAGCATACAATTCTACATAAAAACGGCATCTTGACTTTTTCTTGTACTATTAAAATTAACAAGAGTTAGGGAGGCTAGAAGTTAAAAGAAGATTTCAGAAATTTAAAAAAATCATAAGCAGAAAAATGAATGAATTTTGTAATTTTTTTTATTCAATCTGCTTTAAAAAATGTAACTTTTCTTTTCAAAGAAATAGATATATTTTTTAATTTTTAATAAGAAAGTTATAACAATTTCAAATTTTTAATCATTCATTTTAATTATTTAACAAAACTAAAACAATTTTTTTTCTATACTATTTGATTGATTTTTTGAAATAATTGAAAGTTGCCTTCGAAATTTTTTTTACGTTTGTTTTTTATTATTGTATGCTCGATGTCCATTGTTAATCTCAAAAAGGTAAATATTAATAAGGACTAATATTTTTTGTAAAAGCTCGATATTTTTACACATTCTTGTCTATGTAAAACGTGGAAATTTATTTATTAATACTTGTAAACTTGTAGTTTGAATTATATTAATAATAACATGGTGACAAGAATAACATAAATATCGAGCGTTCAAATAAAAACGTGGTCAAGTTGGTTCTGAAAATTTGGACGTAGGGCGTAGCGTATAGCAAATGAACTTAAACGTCATCTGTCAAAGCGCTATATCGCCACTATCAATTTGATTATTTTCGTTTTAAAAAGCGTTTAAAATGGTGTTTTCTCAAGAACAAAAAGTGTTTATCATAGAGTCCTACTTTAGAAATGGACGCAAGATTGATGGAATATGGAAGTATTCTATTGAGGAATGTTTCATAGAATTTCAAAATCAATTTCCCGGCGTTGTTGAGTACAAAATTTTTCAAAGTGCAGTTCAGCGTTGTGTTAATGTTTTTCGTGAAACGGGCAGTGTAACAAGAAAAGAAGGAAGCGGCCGACCTAAAAAGCAGACTGAAGAATTAAAAGAAAATGTCCAACAAATAATGGAAAATGCGCCAAGAACTTCTGTACGTGTTTTATCACAAATTGTGGGAGTATCAGTCGGTACCTGCCACACAGTGTTTAAAAAAGATTTGCGTTTGTTCTCCTATCGTTTAACTTGTCAGCAAGAACTTCATGAAGTTGATTTTCCGCGACGGGCTGTATTTTGTGAATGGTTTTTAAACAACTACGGTGAACTTCATAATATCACCTGTTTTTCTGATGAAGCCTGGTTTCATTTAAATGGTTACGTAAACTCACAGAATATGAGAATGTGGTTTTCTGAAAAACCAGATAACTTTTTTGTCGAGGGCCCTCTACACACTCAAAAAATTGGAGTTTGGTGTGCTCTCAATCGAAGGAGGATTTATGGACCTATTTTTTTTAATGGTACACTTACTGCGGAAAGGTATAGAGAAGAAATAATCGCTCCTTTTGCTAACCAGCTGGAAGAAAACGAAATTACAAACTTTTACTTTCAACAAGATGGCGCAAGGGCACATAGGGAAGGCGAGACGATGAATATGTTGAGGGAAGTTTTCCAAAATCGATTAATAAGTCTCAATGCTGAACATGAATTTCCACCGAGGTCATGTGATATTACGCCGTGTGATTTCTTTTTGTGGCCTTACCTTAAAAACACTTTTTTTGAACTGCCTATTCCTGATTTAAACCATCTGCAGGCTCGACTTATAGACAAGATTCGTGAAATTAACAATACCCCGAGCATCTTAGAAAATGTCTTTAATTCTTTCAGGAACAGGTGTGAAAAGTGCTTGGAACAAGGAGGGGGACACTTTCAGCAGCTGCTTTAATTTATTGTTATAACAAAGAGGGGGACACTTTCCGCAGCTCCTTTAATTGTTTGTTATTGTTATCACGATTATTCTTTAAAATAAAGTTATATAGTCATTAACGTTATTGAAACTGACAGCTGCTATACAGCTCGTTGAGAAATGAGGTTAAGTTGGTCGCTATAAGCTACTCCCTACGTCCAATGTGTCAGAGCCAACTTCAACCACGTTTTTATTTGAACGCTCGTTATATATCATATAATTTCCTGTCCAAAACATTAAGAACAAGAAATTTTCTTACAAGGGAACTACCCCAACTCCGATTTTCAAGATTTTTACATATGAACATAAAAAATTAAGAGACACATATTCAAACCTCAAAGTTCGCCCCCCCAAAACAGTTTCTTCAAAATTTCTGAGGTTCTAATCAATATTTTGAAATGAAACAAAATGGAAATTACATATGATAAAAAACAAATATTTCGCAAGTGATTCCGTGTTTGGGGGTTGCTACCCTTGTTTTTTATTTTAGAAAAACTATTTTTTATTTATAAAAAAATCAAATTTACTCAAAAACAATTAAAAATATGATGGATGTAAACAAATTGACAAAATAGACCTGTTTCAGGGTTTTCGTTAAAATCTCTGTTTAGGGGGTGAACAACAAATGTGAAATTGTTATAACTTTCTTATTAAAAATTAAAAAATCTATCTACTTCTCTGAAAAAAAAAAGGTTACATTTTTTAGAGTAGATCGAATAAAAATTCCAAAATTCATTAATTAAAATACTGGACCGCCAAAAATGTTTTGAAAGTATAAATTACTCAAATAAATTATTTAAAAAATGTTTTTTTTACGTTTGAGTGCCAACCTTATCATTTTTTCTAGTATTTTACAATGGTGTGTGTTTTGAGTTCTTAATGGTTAGTAAGCAGATTAAATTTGAGTATAAATGAAAATTTGTAAGAAATATGAATTTTTTTCTGGACCTCGTTAAAAATTTTCAAAAGTATCCAGACCCCACCTAAAATTACTTGCCGACCCCTGGTATAGAGTATCAATCGAGATTTTGTAAGTCTTCAGTATAAAAATACTGATTAATTGAATATTTTCAGCAAAAATCCTGATTTTTCTGTAAAATCGGCAGTACCTCATTAAAACAAAGTGGTAAAATCTAATGGTAGATTCATAAAGAACTTGGCATATCATATTTGAGAATCTTGAACACAATAAACCAGTGTTCCAAGAATGTTGGATTCATCTTGGCGTGAACAAGCCAAGTAACAGGTTCGACTTGTAGTATCTCCAAAACAAAAACTATGGTCGACTTAAAATTTTGCTTACTCTAAAGCAGGGGTCGGCAAGTAATTTTAGGTGGGGTCCGGATACTTTTGAAAATTTTCAACAAGGTCCAAAAAAAAATTCATATTATTTTTTTATTTTAATTTGGACTAATATTTAATCTGCTTGCTAACCATTAAGAACTCACACACACACACAATTGTAAAGTACTAGAAAAAATGATAAGATTGGCACTTAAACGTAAAAAAACATTTTTTAAATAATTTATTTGAGTAATTTATACTTTAAAAAAATTTTTGGCGGTCCAGTATTTTACCTTCCGAGGTCCGGACTTGGACTGCGGTCCGCCAGTTGCCGACCCTTGCTCTAAAGTCTAAAGTATCACCACAAGCTATTATTTAGACTACTTTTAAATCGAATTCGTGAGGTCGACAAAACGGGCAAAATTTTTGGTCACTAAAAAAAAATGCGATCTTTAGCCGTTTTTTTGCAATAACTAATACATTTGTTTATCAATAGATTTCGGGCTGAACTCAAAATTTGTGTTATAAAAAGTTCTACAACTTTTGTCCAAAACATTTTTTTCTGAATGTTTAGTTTCTTTTTAACTGTGCGAACTTTTTAACTTTGGACACCATTTTGAAAATGAAGTTCATTCAATTCTACGGAATTTTTCCTTTTACGTGTCTCTCTGTTTACTAAACTAAATCTTCGGCATGTAAAAATCTAATTTCATTGGACTATGCATTAGACAATGCTGATTTTTTTGGTTGCGATTTATGTTTTGAGCATAACAGATTAGCACACATTTATGAAACCAATAATCTGTAAAGATTTAATTTACGGGGATTGGAGACAAACTGCAACTGCAGCATCTTATTTATATACGAAACGAATATTTGTTCAAACATTGTCCTACGAGATGTTTTAAAGGAGCTGTAAAATAAAAATAAAACAAAATATTCTTTACTTACATTTCTCCATTTTCTCGATGAGCACCTTCTGCTGCGACAACTGTTTCTCCAACAGCTCCTGCTTCCTCTTCCTCAGGTCGTTCTGTATCTTCAGCACCTCCTTACGCTGCACGTCCTTGTTCTTATTGACCTTCGCCTGCGCCGCGAGCAACTCCTGGTTCTTCTTGATGGCCGCCGTCGCCTGCGCCTTGGTCTCCTCCTTATTCTCCTTCGCGACGGCCTTCGCCGCCTCCGGATCCAGCTCCTGGGCGTCGGCGGCGGCCGTGCCGTTGCTCGCGTCCGCCCTGGGCTGGACTAAATTCAAAACTTTATTAGTGTTGGGCGCCACGATGTTCTGCGTGCCGAGACGGTCCTTTATGGATCGCGGAGGTGGCGGCACGTTTTCCTGTTTACCTTCCGCGCCCGCGTTGGGGCTGTGCCAGAACACCTTGATGAAGCGGTTGTTCAGCACCGCCTCGGTGCTCCTGTAGGCGGCGTTAGCCTCGGCGTGCGTCGAGAACGTTATGATCGCCGCCTCCGGGTCGCCCTCGAACTGTACCTGGATGTTGACGATCTTCCCGAACTTGGAGAAGTGATTGTTGAGGTGCGTTATGCTGTTCACGCCCTGCGGCACCTTTTTCAGCTCCAGCGAGCAGTTCTGGAGGTTCTTGGAGCGGGGACCGAGGCGGTTGAAGTCGAACGCTTTCTTTTTGTACATGTTCTCGTGGTCCATGTTGTTCATGAAGTTGGGGGGCTGGTTGTAGATGGGCGTGTAGCCCTCCGGCTGCTTCTGGTCCATCACGGGCACGGGGATCAGCTCGCGGTTCATGTTCGGCTGCTGCGGAAAGGCGCCGAGCGGGGGCACCTGCGTCATTTCGATTTTACATTGCGTGCAGACAGATATACAGGGCGTAACTTTGAATAGGGGTCTTATTTATACATAGGCTTCCTTTGACGTTTGGAAACACGTATCAATAGTTTATTTCTTCAAATCTCATCGTAAAAACTTAATTTTTTTTAAACCTTTAGTCGCAGCGCATGCACAATTCTGCACCATTTGCCACGAATTACTTTTCTTGAGTCGGTGTTCGCCACACAAACAGTACTTAACAAGTAACCCAGCAAAAAAATTCAAGCAATAATCAATAATGATAAATGAAATACACAACAATAAATAGTCTGTTGAAGGCTTCCAGCAATAAAAAATGTTCAAATTCGCAGTTGATGTACTGTCTCTAAATACGGAATAACGCCCTTCGATTTGTCACCGTCGACCCACACTATCTCTCTTCACACGCAGTGTAGGTTGCCTACAATTCATGTATTCGTAACACATGAATATTACAGTAGCGGCATATGCAAGTATCAAACTGCATTTTAACAAACTAATCAGAAATCGACTACTTATATGATTAAAAAAAAATAATAATTTCAGATTCATAATCAGGGAAACACATATAGTCCAGGGAACGAAGAGAGAAATAGGGTAAAACCTCCGAATACTTTCGGATAGATCCGATTTTTATGAAAATTTGGAATTAAGCTTATTTCACCCTGTAGAACGTTATATATTCTTGATATGCGCTTCTTAATTTTAGGGGATGAAAACCACCCTTATGCTAAAAACTGAATAAATATAAAAATAAATGTTATATAGACTAAAACATACCATATAATATATGGAATAAAATAAATATTTTTTTCTAGTGTAATTTACGTTATTTTTATAACGTTTCAACCCTTAAAAACCACTCTTAATGATAAAGATATAAAATTAATAGTTTATTTGACCTTAAAATATTTTTATAGCACATATGTTATAGATAGAAATCTTTTCAATAGTTTATGGTATTATAAATAATTTATTACAATATTTCAACC